CATTGTCTACTGAAGCTGGTGTTCTCAAGGCGCTGTCCTTTCTCCTTTTCTTTTTTCTTTCTTCTTGCATGACTTGCCTCACTCTGGTGAAATAAACTTTGTGAAGTACGCTGATGATTTAACGGTTTCAATGGCTGTTAACTCCCAGATAGATTGTACCAAAATAAATAGCTTTCTATCTGGAGTCAGCAAATGGTCTAATGGTCTTAAACTGAATCCTTATAAATGTCGAAATGTTAATTTCAGCTTAAGATGTAAAAGACAGTTGAAAGAAGTCATCGATTCTCATGACAGTTGTAAGATTGACGACAATGATATAGGAATCAAATCAGATATTAAGTATCTTGGACTTATTCTCTCTTCTGATCTCTCCTGGTCTTCCCATTTCTTAGCAATCTCCAGTAAAACATTTCGTCTGACATTTTACATTAAGAAGTTAAGACACTCTAGTATAAATCAACCCCTCTTCTTATTGTTCATAAACTCTTGCATCCTACTTGTTCTTCTTTATTGTTCTTCCCCGGTTCGCTGCTTAAAAAGGACTATGTCACAATTCGTAGAATGCTGAAGACTGTCAGTAGGGTGAGTGGTGTCCGAGTGGACCGCATAGTTAACATCGTTGTTGATAGGCACTTGACTTCGTGCAATAAATTCGCTAAAGGGATTTTGTCTGACTTGGAGCATCCACTTTACCCTCAGTGTAAGCGCAATATCGCTTGAAATTAAGTCACGCGTAGATAAAGGCTATCCCGGTCCAGAACAAACAAGAAGCCGGACACTGCTTCCACGGTTCTATTAATAAACAAATCAATAATTATATATACAACAAACCTTAACGGTTTCAAGAGTACAAAGCACAACGCTTAACAGAAAGCAAGCTACCGCTATCAGAGCAGAATAACATTGCCAACATTGCGAACTAGCCGGAATCAGACACGACCGTTCAGGTAAGCAGTTAGTAGAAGAATGAACCCAAGTAAGGCAGGGCATAGAACAGAGAGCGGTTAAGAGATAGACCGAGCATAGGCACAAAGATAGAATTTAATTGGCTACTTAACCAGGTAGGCTGATACAGATGAAGATCAATAAATAAGATAAACTCGACAGAATAGTACAAAGTAAGACATGGGTCAGTAAAAATAACAGTTCACAAAATACTCTGATTGGGTCATGAGTTCAACTGTCTGACTAAACGGGTCGATGTAAAAACACACACACACAGTTAATTAAACAAGGGGGGATAGACACGTTAGCAATGGATAATTGGGCTGCAACAACGCTAGGCTGATCCGGGACAGGTTGACTTGATTCAAGGATGGGAATGTAATTGATCTTACCCTCAGCTATCACCTTGCATCTCCTCAGGTAGATCAAGAAGTAACTCGTCTAAGTATAAAAATTCAATGTTACCATACTTGGCACGTATTTTATGTGATAGTGAAAATAGTGTCAGGCAAGAATTAACTAACCTTTTTTCATCTAGTAAATATACAATTTCCTCCATCCATCCATCCTTATATACCTTCAAGCCTTACTTTTATTACTTCTCTTATATTTATGGTCCTGTTGCTTCTTTGTTTTACTCTCATAATTGCAAACACGAACTTATCTCTATGAATGCTGTAATCTTTGTTTTTCCCCTCACCATATCATGTAAAGAGAACATTGTATTCAATATTTCTGAAACATGCTAGGATTTCTATACCACATTGCCAATACTGTGTGAAATAAGCCCACGGCAATTTTCACTTGCATTTTTATTACCCTAGCTGTTATTATTATTATTATTTCCATTATATATGCTGCATGTTTTGACATTACTTCTATTGTAAATGTGGAAAATTCTCTATGTGACTAATTTTATTTGTAATTTGAGGAAATTAGAAGCAATACTGTGATTAACGCTGAAAATTCCATTCTGTATCACAAGTACTGCTTTTGGAATAAAGTAAATCATTATTATTATTAGTTGTATATAATTATTTCTACAATAATCAATAATTTCAGACAAATAGTTCCTTTTGTAAATTTTTGTGTAACTTAAGAACAATAAACATTCTGGTAAGATGAACTGACTTCAGTCTTATTTTGTGTGTTCTGTCTGTCTGTTTATATTTATCATATAGCAGTCATATTTCTCAGTTTATTTTTCACTGTTTCAAACCTACCATAAGATTTTCGTCATATTGCAATAACTTGCCTCTTCACCATCTTGGTTCATAATTGTACTTTGTCAGTATTATGTTGAATTATTTCATCACTGTCTGGATCGAATTTTTACAATATGATTTGTCTGTCATCTTAATAAATATTCATACTTTTGTCTGTGATAAGTGATCAGGTCATGAACTTATATCACATTTGTGATGTATGTAAAAATATTTATCTTGTAAAAGGACACACTAACAGAAAACTAGATAGAGTTCACGATATACAGTAAAGTGGCACATTCAAACACAAATACTTGAATTTCTAGTCGAATCATCCGATAAGAATGAAAGTTTCAATTGCTTTAAATCTCGTAAACAGAACTAGAAACACTATTACAGATAATGATCATGATATAGAGAACGAAATCTCCAATATAAAACAAATTTTGATTCGAAACAGTTATCCGAAAGAGCTTCTAAATTATATTATCAATAAAAATGGCGAGAGGGGCAAGAAAACTAAAAATTGAAAAACTTTGGGTATCGACGATCGCCACTCCATATAGAAAGGACACAACTGAAAACTTCAAAAAGTACTTGCTTTCTTTTATGCTAAAGTCTATTTCATGCCCTCGAATTCTTTACCATATAGGGAGAGCAGTAGACAGTTGAAGGAAGGACAGAGTGAATAAACACAGCATGTGTACGAAATGTTCACCTAGAAATGAAGTTGAATTAACGAGTCTATTGCAATGCATCCTATAGACAACGGACATAAAATCGATTTCGACAATGTCGAAATTCTGGGAAACGGCTTTCATTCACCGTATATAGAAAATTTAAAACAAAGAATAAAGGTTAATAAAGCAGGATTTAATGAATTCATCAAATTTCGGTAGAACTCGTAGGACGTAGAACTCGGTAGGACGAGTTCTACCAAAATTTGATGAATTCACTAAATCCTGCTTTATTAACCTTTAGTGCTTGTTTTAAATTCGTATCGGGAAGTATATACAAAAGCTGACCTCTAAAGCCTTGCATACTTTAATCACATAGAATGCAACAAGTAGAGAGAAGCGATAGACTTATCACCATCTATATGACAGACTCTAATGAAGCAAAACAGATAAGAGAAAATACAGAAGTATTAAGTTTGGAATAAAAGTAAAATACTGTATATACCTTCAACGAATTGATAAGGGTATGCCCTAAAGGCATAATTTGATTTGAAATGATATACCATCGAGTTCCCTAAGTCTAATAGGTCCTTTTCAAGGTCAGCTTTTGGCAGGCCTTGACTTCACCATATTTAGTATTAAATAAAACAGTATTGAAAAGTAAATAAAATTTGGAGAACATATTGGACTTCTTCAACAGTTGCCATCCAGCAATCCGGTTCACACTAGAAAAGGAGTCCAACGCAACAATATCTTTTCTGGACGTGCAACTAGCAAGACGCGAACAAGATGGGACACTCAAAAGATCCATTCACAGAAAACCGACATGGAATGGACAACTCATCAGCTTTCACAGTTGGGTGCCTATATATACAAAACGAAATCTGATCCGCTCACTGACTCACAGAATCCACAACATTTGCAGTCCGGAAACTATAGAAGAAGAGCTGAAGACCCTGAAAAGAATCCTCCTTGAAAACGGTTACCCGGAACGTTTCATCACAAAAGCTATGAAGCCCAAAACACAAAAACCATCCATGCTTACTGCTCCCAAGAAACTTCTCTATTTGAATCTACAATTCAACGGAGATTCTTCAGCAGAAATACTGAGAAACCGCCTGTGCCGTTCACTGAAGAAAACCTTCTTCGCAGCGGAACTCAGACTAACTTTCTCTACGAAACCAATGATTCGCACGAACGTGAAGGATAAGCTTCCACTGGGGGCCTCATCAATGTGCATCTACCAATTCACCTGCTCATGTGGAGCTAGGTATGTCGGCCGTACCCAGCGTTTGCTATCCAAACGAATCAGCGAACACTTACCTTCATGGTTTTATAAAGGAGAAAGAAGATCCCCCCGCCACAGCTCTATCCTAGAACACTTGATCGAATCCGGACACCAAGCAAACCCACAAAACAACTTCTCAGTTATCTACACAATACGTGGGAATCTTGCCAAAAGAGTACGAATTAAACTTCTTCAAACTGCAGAAGCAATGGCAATTCACATATTGAATCCTGAACTCTGCATACAAAAGAAGTTTGTTCAGTCACTAAATCTACAATGGTCCTGATCTATCTTAACACCAAATACGTAATTTTGTCTTACCTCTTTCTTCTTTGTTTGTCTATTTCTTAATTGCATTATTTTCTACCCCCACCCTCTATTAAATCTCTACGCTCATGACGACTGTTGCTAACTCGATTTTCGTTTATTTTTAAGTGAATTCTACTCAGCTTATTAACTTAACTCTCATTCATTTTCAAGTGAATTCTACTCAGATTATTAACTTGACTCTCATGCATTTTTTCATTGAACCCTATCAATTAGATTACGTCACCCAACCTACTTTTGTAACTTTATTTTAGTTTCTTACCGATTAACGCCTTCAAAATTACGTAATTTGTTTGTCAAAAATTAACAATTGCATTAACACATCTTTGGAAATATTCCTTTTGTTGCCAAGACAAATTACTATAAATTTGCGATTTGTACAGCTTGAGAATGATATCGCCGAAAAGAGTAACTCTTTGCTGAAGACCTTTTCTTTTCTATGACTGAATGGGAGTTTTCAAGTTACTAAATAAATAATTTTTGATTCCTGTGTTTGTATATATAAATAACAGTAATAGTTTTTATTATTTTTATTATTTAAATAAAAGGGAAAATAAATAAAGTTGAAAAAGAAGCACACCATAATTATACACAACTTTTAAAAACTATGGGTAAATACTGAAAAATTATCCACCTAAATTGAGAATTTTTCAATTCTCACCTATTTTCTTTCACTTTTTTTGACTTAGATTCCTAAATAAGTGTTCAACTGGCACACTTACACACAAAATACTTTACAACACTCAATCGCCTAAAAACATTCTGGAATATATATATGTATATATAAAATTTATCCAAAATATGCAAACTTCAATAGACCTCAGGTTGGTTCAATGTCCAATGTTCAATATTCAATAACTGTTGATCAATATAATTTAAATTCATTTGTAAATAATAAATACAATGAAATGTTTCCCACAATTCTGTTTTTCTTGTAAATTAAGGTCACTTTCGTTTTGAAGAACAAAACAAAACCGGAGGTATTGAAACAATTGAACAACTTTTTTTTAAAACGATCCAATAAAAATATTCCTTTGAGAGTTGTTTAAATGTGTAATTCTTCAAGGTCAGAGTCGTCATTTATCTGTGATATTGGTGTTTTCGACGAATTTAGTTTTTGATTATGATTATTACTACTGTTACTTTTTGATTGAATAAAAGTGAATGAATTTGGTTTTTTAATCTCACTTGATTCATTGACTCGTTTATTTGATGGTGTTAACCATGATGGTTTTTTAACAGTAAACGATTTAGTATGTTTGTGATTATTTAAATTACTGTCGTTCACAGTTTGCTTGTCATTGTTTAAATTAGTATTAGTGTTGAATGAGTTCAATTTGTTTAAATTATTCATTGGTGGATTGTTATTAGTTTTCGAGGACGAATTAACCATCCACTGAAATAAGAAAAATTCAAATAAGAATAAATAAATAAATACTTTTAATAGTCATTAGATTTTAATTAATTTCAAGAAATAATTCGTGACAGATAGACGTCAGTTGGAGACTAGACAGTGGTCAAATCCAACTTTGGAACGATGCAGTCGTACATAATCTGTAACTCCAAAAGACATCAAACCCAGAGCTTTCAGGCTGATAGGCGAATATTTTTTACTACAAAATCACTGGCAAGATCCATCCAGCATGCTGTATTGAGACTGCTTGTTTAAAACTTGTGCCACCAAAACATCCCCACCGTCATTATATTGCATATCATTTCTCTCGCACACTTTATTTGATCTCCAGTGGTGCTGTTCACTGTCGCGAGTATTTAAAGCGTCTACAACCGGCTGATTCGGAAGTTTGTGATAAACTTGAGAAAAAGCGAAATTGTGGGGGAGGGTACGTGTCCCAATACATGAGGCAACTATTGCTGACATTTTTAGTATAAATTGTCACTGCCAGTGAAGTGAAACTAACTACCTGTAGTCTTTAATCATTCAGTTATGTCTTTAGGTCTGAAAATGTACTTTAGAACTTTTTAAAAAACTGACTTTCAATCAAGTGTCGTAGATTTGTTGAAAGAGACGAAGAAGAAATATCATAAGGATGGATTGGTTTTCTCTTTAGGTCAGACAGTATTGTGTCAAGTATTGCGTCTACTGTGAATCGCTCTATCGCTGTGAAAAGGATGTTTGTTAATGTCAGTCTTTCGTCATAATGTTATACTGCTAATCGACACAGGTTGAGTATTAAAACCGTTTCGATTCCTACTCACTAACTAACTAAAAGATAAATATCCAAGGTTAATAATGTGAATATCATAGGTGCGATCGCTCGTCGGGTTATGAAAGACCACCTCAAAGGAGCCGAAGATAAGGATGAAACAGCTATCCGGTGATCTTCGTTTTTCAACAATCGTACAGCCAACACAATTAGAGTAGAAACATATCAACTCATTAAAGCAATAACAAGCATCGGTTGAAATTGATTAGGCCTTACAGAAGTGTCAAACAAAGAGGTCTACCGATCCAGCCAGTCAGCTCTCAGAAAGAATCTTTACATATCCCTGCCGTTCAAAGGTGATCAACAAAGTCTAATTACTAGACAAAGCCTCAAGGAGGCAAATAGTAGAACAACTTAATATGCAGCCAAACTCATTTTCAATAGAGAGAATGAGATTTATGCTGTCCTGTAAACCTTCATTGCATCCGAACGATAGTGACATATCCCGCTATGTTTACTAATTTTTATATGCGTGTGTGTGGGTGATCACACTTGCATGGGGAGGACCCGTTGGTCTCTGTATGTTAGGGCTACAGAACACACTCCAAAGTGGCTGCAACAATAAATAATGAAATCACTGGATACAACTGATCCCGGAAATAGATTTCCGGCATTATCTATAGTGAAGCACAATATAGAGACTGTCTGTCTGTTTTCGACATAGAACTTTGCACAAATGTGCGGAAGTTCAAGTCGCCACACTCCCTCCATGTAGCACACAAAGCAACAGAAGAAAGTACAAGAAAAGCATTATAGAGGCAGTAAGCAGAGGTGTGAGACAAAGGAAGAGTAATAACGAAGAACAAAACAGTTTCATTGGAAATCATAAGTCACAAGGAGTGGATGAATCTGCGCCACTGAGAACGAGCCATTTCACCAATTGTTTCCAACCATTGGTTTTTACCGTCCCGAGGACCCCAGCCTGGAAGTCTACACCTTCCTACGTGGTTTAGGCCTGGGTGGCATGTTTTGGTTTGATCTCCGCCAGCTTTTTTCCAGCCTGACCCTATATCCGCTAACATTACTCGTCGAGGAAGGCGATGACTAGGCATACGTAACACATGTCCTAACCATCTCAGTCTTTGTAACTTCACAACTTCGTCGATTGATTTCCCCCGTTTACCTAGCACTCGACACCTCACCTCAATGTTGCTCATCTTATTATACCACTTCACACGGGAGATAGAATGCAGGCACCTATGATCAAATACAGCTGGCTAGTCTTTTCATGTCTTCCACTCGCAGTGGTCATGTCTCGCTCACAGACATAAAGGAGGACGGAGCGGACTGATGAGCAGTACACCCGCCCTTTGGTCGATAGTCGAATATCTCGTCTACGCGTAAACTGGTAAATGTGAAACGAGCCCCCTGCATCCGTGCTGAGATTTCGTCAGAGATCAAACCATTGGGGCTGATGGTACTTCCCAAATAAGTGAAGTGGTCAAGGTGCTCCACTAACCACTTCACTCCCTATTTTTAAACTAGGAGTCAGTGTAGTCCAGTCCAGTCCTGTAACATCATCTTAAATTTGACAGCAGGAGCGAATCTCATGCAAAACATACGTAGATTGCAGCTCAAGGTTTTCAGAAGACTCTGCATTTTGTCAGCGTCCTCGCCTAGAAGGACTATATCGCCTGGATATTCTAAGTCAACGAGATTATTCCCTGGTAGCAAGTAAATATAGAGACTACGGGTCACTAGGTTGATTTCAATAATGTCTTTACATCCATATGCAATAAAAGGTTGTGTCACATACTTAAATTCGTTGAAGGAAGTTTTGGAGATAGGTAGGCTTAAACCTGTCTTATGTGTCCAAAATTTATTTGTTATCACTTTGCACCCGCTGCGGCAATCCAAATTAAAACCAAGGCTCAATTAACTGGATGATATTTTCAACCTCTTCCCTGTTTTTACCTACCCCAGACCCTTTCATATTCTTCTTACATCTTATTTCTAACCTTGACCTGAATTGTAATACTCCACGCTGCCTTGCCTTCTATATAAATGCGTGTGACTAGTGTCTGTATAATCAGAATGTCAGAAATGTTTCGCTCAAATAAATCACATTATAAGTTTCAGATAACCTACGTCTTCGTATTATCTTGTCGAAGTTGTTTAACTGTTATCGATTCCAGACGAGATACGCATTGAAGTTAATCTGTGAATCAGTCTCAAGTTCATCAGTAGTTAGTGGATGGATGTCTTGCAGTTCTAAGGAGAAGATGCGTCTGGTGAAGTACACCATGTTGGATGTCAATTAAACGCTTATCGATGTAGCTGATCGGTTATAAGATTATTTCGTGAATAGACAGAAGGGAGAATCGACGAGTTACTGAATTCCAAACCATCGGTTAAATGATTAACTGTATCGCCGAGTAATTTGAGAGTTCAAAGTTTAATCGAGTGTGTACTGCTTACGATTGCCAAACTATGACGAACAGAAAGAAGGGTATTTGAACATGTACTAAAGAGCCCTCGACTAAAGTGACCGAATACTTTGAAATAGAGTGATCATATTATATATGTATATTAACTCCTCTATTACCAAGCAACTGGTAGACAAAGGACGTGGAATGGATGCATTGGAAAAGATTCAAAACAATTAAGAAACAAAACAACCCAAATCTTCTACATTTTGCTCAGTTTACCACACTAAAACGACTGAGTCCTGAATCTGAATGAGATCTATGCTGTCCTGTAAACCCTCATTGCATCCGAACGATAGTGACATATCCCGCTATGTTTACTAATTTTTATATGCGTGTGTGTGGGTGATCACACTTGCATGGGGAGGACCCGTTGGTCTCTGTATGTTAGGGCTACAGAACACACTCCAAAGTGGCTGCAACAATAAATAATGAAATCACTGGATACAACTGATCCCGGAAATAGATTTCCGGCATTATCTATAGTGAAGCACAATATAGAGACTGTCTGTCTGTTTTCGACATAGAACTTTGCACAAATGTGCGGAAGTTCAAGTCGCCACACTCCCTCCATGTAGCACACAAAGCAACAGAAGAAAGTACAAGAAAAGCATTATAGAGGCAGTAAGCAGAGGTGTGAGACAAAGGAAGAGTAATAACGAAGAACAAAACAGTTTCATTGGAAATCATAAGTCACAAGGAGTGGATGAATCTGCGCCACTGAGAACGAGCCATTTCACCAATTGTTTCCAACCATTGGTTTTTACCGTCCCGAGGACCCCAGCCTGGAAGTCTACACCTTCCTACGTGGTTTAGGCCTGGGTGGCATGTTTTGGTTTGATCTCCGCCAGCTTTTTTCCAGCCTGACCCTATATCCGCTAACATTACTCGTCGAGGAAGGCGATGACTAGGCATACGTAACACATGTCCTAACCATCTCAGTCTTTGTAACTTCACAACTTCGTCGATTGATTTCCCCCGTTTACCTAGCACTCGACACCTCACCTCAATGTTGCTCATCTTATTATACCACTTCACACGGGAGATAGAATGCAGGCACCTATGATCAAATACAGCTGGCTAGTCTTTTCATGTCTTCCACTCGCAGTGGTCATGTCTCGCTCACAGACATAAAGGAGGACGGAGCGGACTGATGAGCAGTACACCCGCCCTTTGGTCGATAGTCGAATATCTCGTCTACGCGTAAACTGGTAAATGTGAAACGAGCCCCCTGCATCCGTGCTGAGATTTCGTCAGAGATCAAACCATTGGGGCTGATGGTACTTCCCAAATAAGTGAAGTGGTCAAGGTGCTCCACTAACCACTTCACTCCCTATTTTTAAACTAGGAGTCAGTGTAGTCCAGTCCAGTCCTGTAACATCATCTTAAATTTGACAGCAGGAGCGAATCTCATGCAAAACATACGTAGATTGCAGCTCAAGGTTTTCAGAAGACTCTGCATTTTGTCAGCGTCCTCGCCTAGAAGGACTATATCGCCTGGATATTCTAAGTCAACGAGATTATTCCCTGGTAGCAAGTAAATATAGAGACTACGGGTCACTAGGTTGATTTCAATAATGTCTTTACATCCATATGCAATAAAAGGTTGTGTCACATACTTAAATTCGTTGAAGGAAGTTTTGGAGATAGGTAGGCTTAAACCTGTCTTATGTGTCCAAAATTTATTTGTTATCACTTTGCACCCGCTGCGGCAATCCAAATTAAAACCAAGGCTCAATTAACTG